AAGATTACGTGCTAAAATTAATACATTTTATTCAATTGCTTCGTCCTTGTAAATTAATGATTCCGCACACTCGTGCTATAAAAATTCATCAGGCCATCGTTACAAAAGTTTCTTGCTAATATAATTTTGAAAACAGTTACATCCAATGTGCGTAGGAACATTCTATTGCTATGAGTCGTATTAGTTTTAAATGATAATCGAAAGATTTCCTTTTTCTTTAATAGACTTACGCGCTAAATTACATTTTACTAAAGTTTATGTACAATCTTCTTCTTTTTTTCTTTTTTTAAATTTACGTTAGACTAGATACAGACACACGAGATATGTCTGATCAGTCTGCGTTATAATACCGTAAGATTAAAAGAGGGTACGCGAATAAACGAAGTTTCGTAAAAACAATTATCATCTAATTAATTGCTCGAAGTTGAATATCCATGATAACAACAGTGCCAGAAAGTAGACAGTGATACTGAGAGTGATACGTTATGCTACGTTTGATATGAAACTGATAATAGAAATGGAAGTCTTTTGTTATTTTTAACACTAAATTACAAAAAGAAAGAGAAACGTTCGCTGTATTTACAAACATAACTTCAACAGGTATTTTATATTATGTAAAAAAAAAGCCTTTGCAATTCAGTGTAATTGATTAATACAAATAGCAAATTTCTGCAGTGAAAATCAATCGACTATATAATCCTATTGAAATGAAATATTTAAAATTATATTTCAGATGACAAATGATGACGGAGCGTTTCACAATTTCTAATACTTTACTGAAAATCGTTAATGTATCTGTACCGATGATACTGATAAGAATTTGTATATACTAAAAGTCACAAGTTACAATGTTGATTTACATTAATATACAGTATGTTATAGGTGACTGGAATGCCATTACGGTACTGTCAATATTAAAACCTAACTTTTATATATATATATATACTGATGGGATATGATTTTAGTAAGAGACAAGCAATGTGGCATGATACGTTGTATGCATGTCTATGATTTGTATATCTATCTATGTACAAGGAATTTCAAAATACAGAATACCTCACCATTGCACTCTATTGAATTTCTATATGTATATATAATTAAGATCCTAAGATTGAAAAGATACTTTTTTTTTATTCACTTTATTGGTAAATAAACGTTTTTATTTATACCTCAGTCTTCACCTTAACAGACTGATCTCTCTTTTGTCAAATGCGTTGCTTCCTAACTTTTTACACAGAAACTTTTTAGAGTTATGCAACAATTAGCAATGATGAGATTAGAACATTCTTATTACATGATTTTTACAAATAAAATTCTCAACATATACATCGCATACGTATACTTTATATATAAGATATATAATATAAGATATTATATGTACATATATAAGGTATACGTACAGGGAAATTAAAAAGAGGGGAGATTTATAATGGAATTTCTTTAAAGGATGCAGTTATCTGCCTTTTCGATATGTAAAAGTCCAAAAATCTTTTTAAATCTAGGTAATACAGGAATTAACCCATAGTTGATTGAAATGTACAAAATCGTATGGTCGACTGTTGTGTTAAGGTAACTGTGTTAAATAAACTCTGCATCTATCATATTTCAATCGCTTAACATTATTACAATTACACTGTATTGTAAAGTGGAATATTATACATAAAGAGCTGCATCTTCTATAAAATAAATGTAATACTATATAATCAACCATGGGTTAATCAACCGTTTAATAACATCATGTACTTTAAGATTAATAGTTACACGTCACCAAGTTCAACGTGTCTTAGATAACTAGAAACGAATATACAAAGATGAAGAAGCTCTATTGTGTGCATGTATTATTACCCTTTTGGCACTGTTAAAGCCCATTACGTTAAAGGCAAAACAATCGCAATCTTCTCTTGCTCTGATCACCGTCATGAATCATGGGTAAGAATCAAAATGTAATTAGGCCTCATTTATGTTAGTTATTAACACTTAATCCGCACAATTATTATCACAGCTTAGAGTGCAATTACAGTATCCTGAATTACACTAAATTAATTTAGACTCGTGAAGTTTCTTTTAGTAAGTATTTTCAGAAGAATTTCTTTGCGATGGTAGTCCTAATTGTGACAAATCAGAGCAAGTAGAAGATATCATGCGTTTAAAACTGACTCAGTAAAAACCACAATTTAAATAAACCTGGGTTATTTGAAACGTGCATCTTGAATGGCCATTTTGTTCATTGTTACATTTAACCCAGAGAACATTCCATATTATGCATTTCCGGAATATGATTACCGCAGGTTAATATCATTCGGTCGAAATATCATTGAATACTTTTTAAAATTATTCAGTCTGGTTATGCAGTCTTTAATATAAGCAAGTTGGAAGGATATCGAAAGTAGATACGAAATTCTGAATGTTCAAAAGCAGAGTATTGCCTAAATATAAGCCATTAAATTCGTTAACTCTGAGTGAATATTTATTGTATTTGATCAGTGCAGATTCACCCGAGAAAATTTGTTACATTTTATGCTAAATAAAAGTAAAAAGGAAAGAATAAAATGTATTAGATTGAATGAACATGAAAGTGACTTTGTTTGAACAAGGGTCTGATATATCGATATCAGGTTATTGCGAACTGTAGAAAGTTGGTACAAGCAAGATGCTCCGTTTCTTTAAATATTAATACATAAATAATATATAATAATTACGTATTCAAGGCCTTACGTATCCATTGCGTATACACTGGATGCAAGACTCAATTCGAAGCTAGGTCGTGTGTGTATGAAATAGAGTATTACCATATTGAGAAATCTGTATACTTTCACAAAGAAACTAGCACAATCAAAGCAAAGTATAATAAGAAGACTGTTACTTCGTCTGATCAAATTTAATCCATGAACAGTAATGTCACGTTAATTTTGATTATTCAATGCATCTTTATGTAAAGTATATACACAAGCTGAAACAACTGTTGCCACATTAGTATATCAAAGATTGTTAGAGTAAAAAATAAATACAGTTCAATTTAAATAGAAGTGTAACGTTGTCAGAGATTTACTGAACGAGCAAATTATCATATAATTAAATTCAGTTCATGGAGAAAATCTTGTTCCGTGAAGTAAGCTAGTCGTCTTAAATATAGTATATTACAGAAATGTAAAATAATCTGAGTTAGCTCATTTATTTCGTGCAAAGACCTAATAAATTCCTCATGGCTTCCAATCAGTTAACTCGACTGTTCCTACCAGGTACTTTGTATAAGGTTGTTGAGACATCTTTTTTATAACAATTCACATACGATACCACTTTACAGATAGTCAATTACTGAAATTCACTTGGCCAGTGTTTCTTTTTTTTTTATCCATCTTGTTATCTCTGAACAATCATTGTATGGTTGCCTTACATCAATGGGGAATGTGATTGTCCCATATTAAAAGGAGATAGTTCTGGATTAAAAGTTTGACAGAATATTTGTTTCATGCACTGAACTGGAATTAATTTTCTACTAAAAAAGAAAAAGAAACAGTAACATTTTAAGACACTGAGATTGCTAGAAACATTATTAATCGATAATTCATGTACCATTTTTTATTCATATGATCCGATTCCGTATATATCATACCATTAATTTAAAAAAATATTAATACACAACAAACTAAATACCTGGTATGTAACTCTAATTACAAAATCCAAGTAACGTTAGAGATTCATATGAAAATATTCTAAATGTAAACGATATATGTTGTAACATCGAAATAACATCTATAAAATAGTAATTAAGAAAAAACTGTTCCCGTAATAGTACTTTTACTCCATATTTTATGTCATTTTGAAACGCAGAATTGTTAAAAAAAGAATTGTTATAAAACGATATGCAATATTTTACATTCCTCATTGATGTATAGGTAAAAATATTTTATGATACAGAAAATGGTTGTGCAATGTAACAAAAGCTATAATACACGTAGATTAACTACATACTAGATTCCTTAGTGGTGATAGTCTCGTTGGTATTATCAACTCTTATTAACGTCGACGAATTTAAAACAAGCGTCCTACTCAATGTAGCAACTCTTTCCATTACACAAGAAGCTGAAAGACGCGCTTCAGCGTCGTGATCCCAACACTCTTCCATTGTATCACATATTGATTGAAGTCCCTAAGATTATGATACAAAGTTCATTAAGACCGTACGAATTTACACACTTGAATTATATTAGCTATTTACTAGTAATATAAAGTATATTATATTATTGTATCGAGAAATTTACTTACAGGGTGTTTACGCCACGTTTCCAAAATAAGTGGCCTTTCTTTCTTGTGCACAACACTTTCCTGCATATCCTCCAATGTTGGATGAAGACCCACTTCATCTTCGAATGGTAATCTGTACTCCCCGATTGGTCCCTAGTAATGAACGAGTGTAAATAACAATCGACAGTATAAATAGAAACAATAAAAAGATACAGATAAATTAGAATTTACATCTTGTACAGTGCATCGTGAAGCTAGTTCCCAGAGCACAAGACCGCAAGCATACATGTCGATTCGTAAGAACGAATCTCGTGTAAAATTAATTGCACCTTCCAAAACTTCTGGTGCCATGTACCTCCTTGTTCCAACCTAAAAGCAATAACGTAGAATGTAAGCGAAATTTATTACGTCGTAGGAGATTAGTTCACAGATTAATTAATTACCTGTCCATGTGTATCGCCACAAGGTTTCCCAGGATGGAATATCAATGCTAGACCAAAATCTGCTATGCAGGCACTCATGTCAGCTTTCAGTAAAACATTTTTTGACTTAAAATCTCTATGAGCCACAGCAGGTTTATAACCATCTATTTTGTTAGCTGGTATCTCTTCGTGTAGATGCATCAGACCTCTGACATAAACAAAGTCCCCATGATACCAAACATTCGTACAACGTTTATGAAATATGTTTGAAAGTAATACCTAGCCATGGACTCTGCTATTCTACACATCTCGGGCCATGTGACAACATTTGCTTTCAAATAATCGCACAATGAACCTTTCTCGTGGTAAGCAGTGATCAACCAGAATTCAGCTTGCAAATTGTCTCCCCTCTTCTCAACGCCTATAAAACGTAATATATCTTCATGATCCATGTGTGCAAGCTTGAAAATCTCTTGTTCCGTTTGCCATGACTGCTTGTCCTGTATCGGGAACACCTTAACAGCAACGATCTCGTTTTTCAACTGCGCCTTCCAAACTGCCCCGAAACGGCCGCGTGCTTTGATTTCCAGAAGCTGAATCGGCCGCAGTCCTAAATTGGGAGATGGTTGTGGTAACGGAAGAGGTTCTAACGTCGGTACCTGCGGAATGTACATCGTATTAGGATTGTACACAAAACGGGGTTGATAGTACCACACCAAAACAAAACAATAACGTTTAGTAATTTGATATTATGTACATATGTCTTCCAAACCTCGTTGAAATATCCCAACTTCCTACGTCGGTAGCACCAATACAAAAATGGTAAAATAATAGCAAGGAGGAGCATGGGTATGGATACTGATAAAACAAGTGTGATTATTTGTTGTTCTGTGTTTGGAACGGGTTCTGATTCTGAAACACAATCTTATTTAATAAACAACGATACAAAGTGTGTCATCTATCGGAGAACTCCATTTATCTTAAGGAAATTTTACTTTACTTAACATTGATTCCTTGGAATTACTAGTGAGCTACTACTTAAATGAAAAACCATTGGTATTCATTGTAACAGCTACCTGGTTCATTGATTTCTTGAAATTTGGATAAATAGAGTTCTACTATATTTGAAGTAAATGCATACCATGAATAACAGAAGGTTGGATAGGTTTGGAGGAGGATGTAGGGTGAGGGTCCCATGTAAAATTCTGATTACACATGTTGCCATCGCAACAACAGAAGAATAATTCCTTCTTTCTCTCTGCACTGTTCTCAATGCAATGTGGCCTATCATAGCAGTCATTACTATCCAAAAAACATCCCTGCAATTCATAATAGTGTTAATATTCATTCCAGAGTAAATAATTAAAAACAATCTTCATAAACCAATATAAAATATACTATAAATAATATTCCATGTACCTTCAATTTAATTATAGACTTTTTAGTGACATTGTCAATTTGCCACAACACATAACAATGATTTCTTTTCCCTGGGTCATGTGGACCACACTCTTCCCTCCCTGAACATTCCTGCTGGGATTCTGTGCATAGTGTTTCATTATAAAATTCACATACCGAAGAACCTTTGACATCGTGTCCTAAAGTAGGTCCTAAAATTAATTTACAAAGAACTATATACATTAGAAAACAATACAAAATCGACATCAGAGTAAATTATAATACCACTTGCAATAAATCTCATATTATTTCCATCTTAAAACGCTCGTAACTAAACTTAATAAATTCCATAATATTAAAAAAATCCAATAACTATCATCTCGGTAAACAAAACTGTACACAATTATCCGGCGGTATTCAATTGCACCCTGCCCCTTAAATAAACAAATATCTCTCACGGGACGACATTGTTGTTATCCCGTTAACACAAATAGAACGCGTTATTCGAATTAAAACGTATCCAATTACATTCGAAAACAAACTGTCATTCCGCTAGGAAATCCTCTCTCGCCTATTACGTTTATAAACAGAGAGGCAAATATTGGTCCACGAAGTGGCCAAGATTTAGAGGCGATCCGATACGCGTTCAGCGAGGGAACGACATCGTGGTGAGATCCCTGGTACGCAAGATTTCCCGTCGGACCGTGTAATACGTGCCGCGGGATGCAGGCGTGAAAGAGGGAAGACGATAATGGTGCATACGATTACCTAACAATCCTAAGATGAGATATGGCAGTATCGTCGCATATGTGGGCATCGTGAACGTCTCGTGAAAAGCATACCAGACGAATTTTTTTTTTTCAGTCTAGACGCACGGTGTTCGCGAGAGATGTGGCTAGAGCGCCGGACTTTGGTGCGCAAGGTCCGGGGTTCCTGGTTAGCCGTCACATCTGGCTTATTTCCTACGTGATCCGCACCATCGCGCGTCCCCGCTTCCCTTTATCGCCCCGTGTTCGCCGAACACAGAACGCTCGCGACGAAAATCAAACGAGAATGCAAAGAGAGGGGAAAGAAAACTGAAATCGAGTAGTCTATTAGCTATTAAGCAAATTGTAGTAATTCATCCATCGACACATCTCTCTTCCTCTCCCCCTCCCTCGTTTCTGCAGGAACACGGACACCATGGATTTATGTCATTTTTCACTATTCGGTCGTCACGGTCGTGGCCACTTCGGAACGGTCACGGGATCGCCGACGGAGGAACGATCGAGAATCCGTACACGCGCGATAACGCGGATCACGATGAAATTGATAAAAATCAGCTGAAATTCCGCGGATTCGCGAATCTACGTGCCAAACGCACGAGAAGATGGATCATAAACTAATGGGTCGAGATAGAACGACGGCGAACGGGCGAAACTGATATCGTTGCGCCGGATCGCGAAATTTCAATTAATGGCTAAAATGATGTTAGTTTTCCTCGTTGCTTCGTGTAATAAATAGTACAGTGAAACTTTTATTATTATCTTTATTATTACTATAATTATTCTTAAGGAATCTTGAAAATAAAATTGGATTATGTGTTGTATATATATTCATGAAAAAATGATATCTACGTCTATATTTTGAATAAACTCGTTTATTTTATATTTCCCATAACAATAAAGGGTACAAAATGAAATAAAATATGCATAAATATATTCCACTTAATTCTATTTAAATGAAATTTAGATTTCCCTCTAGAGTATTTAGTTTCGATCGCGTCGCTAGAGGTGTTGCAAAGTTATCTCTTAAAATCATTGCGCACTCTAATCTACACATAAGTCAACATTTTTTAAATCCCATTGAGAAACGTCTTTATCGACTGTGTCGTGTTTATGGCGCAGTACTTAACTATTGCGACGTGTATTCGAAATATTTTCGAATATATTGAAAATCGATTTTAAGGAAACACTCGGGTTTTATTTTTCCACATCCGTCATATATCTGATCATCCATTTTCCCAAATCTGTTTTATTTTATAATTTCACTTGTATCGTTCGGTTCTGTAGTTTACCGTTGACTTAAGTAGAGTGCGCTCGAGTAGTGAGTATTTTATGGTACCCAAGCATACAGTGACACGGACTCGTGGATTGAAAATCTCATTATATTAATGGCGGTATTGTATCCCGAGGTGCGTGCAAACTGCTCGACCAATTGATCAGTGACGATTTCGTGTTCAGTGGTGGTTCTTTGTAAGCCATTAGTTAGTGGTCGCCGTGAGACCCGAACTGCATTTGAATTGCATTCGAGAGTGGTCGGTGAACGGTACCGGGAGAGCCTGTCTTTCTTTCACCAAAGATCACCGAGAACCGAACGCGACGTCGATGACTCTGCCGAAAGGAAAACGGTCGTGGTAGCACGTTCTTCCGCGTCCAGCTATTGAGGTTAGTCAGAAAAGTATTGGTTTCCAATAACAGTATTCCAGCCGGTCCGCTCCGTGAAGTGTCACAACGGTTGATATTCCACTCCCCTTTGTCGGAGGGTTCTTTAAATGACAAGCGATCATGGCAATGTCTGGGTCTGATAGAAAGCCGAGAGTCGTGGTTCTAGGAGGTGAGTACAGTTTGTTCGTAACGATAATACGACGGAAGCGATAAACAGAAATAACGAAAAAAGCATTATTATCGTCGGAACAGGATGCGGTTTCATAGGACGTAATCTCGTCGAGTATCTGTTGGATAACGATCTCGTCTCGTTCGTGCGCGTCGTGGACAAAGTACCACCGCAGACTGCTTGGCTCAACGCTAAACACCAACAAATATTTGAGCATCCCTCGCTTGAATTTAAGAGCGCGAATTTAATTAATACAGGTAACAGAGAGCGAAACGTGCTCCTAAACGGACTCTCTTGAACAAAGAAAAATCCTCACTGTATTCTTGTTTGATCCTTGCTCCGTTATCTAGACGATTGATGATGTATTTCGAAATTCCTTACAGTATCTTGTCAAAATGCATTTGCGTCTGATGATCCGTTTGATTATGTGATTAATTGTGCCGGGGAAACGAAGAGTGGTCAGACTGACCCTGTGTACAAAGAAGGAATCTACAAGCTGAGCATGAACTGTGCTCAACAAGCAGCGAAATTACAAGTCGAACGTTATGTAGAGATATCTTCTGGTAATTTTAATGCTTCCGAAAAAGTATGTGATTCTTGGTTCGAGCTTGCTTGTAACATTAATTGTGTGTATAAATGTATGGTTGTGTTATTGTAGAATCCTCATAAAGAAGATGAGATTGGAGAACCTTGGACATATGTTGCAAAATATAAGCTGCAAGTAGAGAACGATTTAAAGAATGTACCAAATTTAAAATACACAGTGCTTAGACCAGCTATTGTGTATGGGTGTGGAGACAAAACTGGTCTAGGTAATAGAAATTTGATTTCTAATGTTGCAAGTGAATGAATGCTTTGTTCATTGAAACAATGATATTTTATGTATGGGATGAATTATTTTTTATAGCACCACGTTTGGTAGTAGGAGCAGTTTATAAGCATTTAGGAGAAATGATGAAATTACTTTGGGGACCAGATCTTCATATGAATACAGTTCACGTAAGAGATGTAGCTAGAGCTATCTGGTATGTAGCAAATAGGCCAGATACAATGGGCCAAACATATAATGTCGTTGATGAAGGTGATTCAACTCAAGGATCAATCAGTGCTATAGTTTCTGAATTATTTAATATCAATCATGATTACTGGGGCACTACACTGTCTACATTCGCTAAAGTATGAATAAACATTTGTTACATGTACAAATAGATAAAAATCTCCATATCTATTTTACACGAGGAGAAGTAAAAATGTTTTCTATTTTTAAGGATTATTTTTGTTATACATTCTAGACAGATATGAGCTCTGTAGTGGAAGAAGTGAATGACAAGCATATGGGACCCTGGGCAGAAGCTTGCAATAAGGATGGAGTGGAGAATAGTCCTTTATCCCCGTACATAGACCAAGAACTTCTCTACAACAAACATTTGTATTTACAACCAGGAAAATTATTAAGTACTGGGTTCACTTATATGTATCCGAAACTCACAAATTCAGCTCTGAAAGAGGTAGAAACTCATTCGCATAATTTTCATTATTAAAAACGATAAGCAATTTTCAAACATTTCATTATTTTAATTCTCTTGTGTCTAGGTTCTCGATGATTATGTGAGCATGAAGATATTTCCACATTCATTGGTCCTATGAAATGTAGCAATGCAAACTGCCAAGATGAATTATTGAAACAGCTTACAATGATTTGTATAAATAACTTTTTGGAGCGTTTCACCTTGTGCCTAGTAATCTATGCAAGTTATGTACTTTATTGTATGTTATACATTTTACTCGTATTTTACCCGCTAACAAATACTGTTAGTCAAGTTTATAGAGTATACAAGATGGAATACGAAGATTTCATATAGTAAGCCTATCTGCAAATGTGATAAACTAGGAATTAATGTACTTAATTTTATCATAGTTTGAGCTATGAAAAATGTTTGCACGTTAACGTTGGCTAGTCAGTTTTTGACTCGTGTATAAGGGAATAACGTGAAGTTGGAAAAATACTGAAGTGCAAACACGAGACTAGATATTTACATGCCGAAACTTAATATATTATAGCATGTAGACGTTGTTTGGATGAATATTTTAGAGAATTATGTACATCGTCAAAAAATGCTTTTTATAATGCATTTCTCCAAGACTGGAAAAATAAATATAATTGTTAAAATGAAAAAAGAGATAACTGAGATGGGATTCATAGAAAGTTAGGAGGGACTTTACGTTTTTATATCCACTGCATTCCAATATATAGATCTTCCATTGAGCTGTGACTCGGGACTTCAGAAATCTTTTTATTCCAAGCAAATAATAACGGTTTCGTAAGTTTAGAAATATTAGATACATTCGAATTATATAATGTATTAAATCAAGTACAAATAATATTACTTAAGCTAGAAAAATATTTCTAAAACGCCAAACACATGAAATTTGAGTAGGTTTATTACACGAAAAAAACGGTAAGCCTAATTTTGCATCGGATTGTATAACAAAATAAATGCATAGGCTAACGGCACGTAACTGCCAATTAAAATTAATAGTATTACTCTTTTGAAACAATTGTTATTAAACCTTTGATAATAAAGTTATTCATTTATGCATTTAATCAGCTGTTTCCTTTGTCTACCTCTTAATGCAGTTCCAAGAATTGTATTTATAAGGAAGGGGATATTATCTTTTGTTTGTTTTCTCTTTCTCTCTTTCTTTCTTTCTTTCTTTCTTTCTTCAAGACAAGTAACATCGATACACTGTCTTAGTTTTATTCAATCATTGGTTACAACAAGATACTGCGCTCAGAAGGGTCAACAATATCATTAAATATTTCGTGTATCGTTTTAATTCGAGTACTTTTAAACAATAAGATTATAATTTGATGTTGTTCACTATACATAATATATTAAAATATATACTTTTAATATTTTCTGCGGATAATATATGTACAATCGTAGAGTAAAAATATTTACAAAGTAACTGCACCCTAAAAGACAGTATAATCGTCGCAATA